TATTTGGGAAAGAATAGGGCATCTCGAGTTAGAAACCATTCTCTTTCCTTAAGCTTTTTCCAAAACCAGTTTTTCTGGAAACCTCTTGTATACAATATAAATCTTGTATAAATCATTATAGAATAAAAATCTCAATCTTTTGATATCAGAAAGATATGAGTTTCTAAATTTACTATCCCATAAATTCTTGATAGATTGAAGAAGATAATCTCTTTCTTACTTTAACAAAGAGAGAATTTTCTTTACTTAAGATCTTTATTCTTAATTCTAAGAAAAGATACAGTGAGGGCAAGAAGCTGAAATAGCAGAATTCCCATTGAGGCAAGAGGCCGTTTAAGGGAGCAGTTTGCAGATTCAGAGCCTGAAGGTCACTCGGTTCTAAGAATACAGATTTAAGATCAAAAGTAAGGTAAAATTATTGTCTTTGTTAAATTTAGAAAGAATTCTTCTAATATCTTGAAAGAATTGTAGGGATTATTATTGTTCATGTTTGCAAAAAACTTATCTAAATATGTTATTATTCATAAAGTTTGCAAGGAATTATTTGAATAATGCCATGTTATACAATTAAAGGATTAGATAATCTGTTAGATAGATTAATGGAAAAAATAGAAAATATTTATTCTCAATTAGAGATTATGGATATATTATCGAAGGAATTTGATAATCTTAGTAAATTACATGACAATTATATTACAGATTATGCTAATTTATTAGATCAAAGGATGAAATTATATATTAAAACTCGAAATGAGAGAAATAGAGGAATTTAAAACTATCCCAATAAATTAAGGATATCTTGTGCAATATATGATAAATTATTTCATTAAGGGTATAATAGACATTTCATCAAAAATGAATAGTAGCTGGTCATTTATAATAATACCCCGTTTTTTTAGCCTTTATTATTTATTAACATATTATGAGGGTGTTTGGAAGTCATTTTTATGTAAAAATACATTTTTAAATAGTAAATTGATGGAAAATGTGTGGTTGAAAAATAGAGAAATTTTTTTAATTTATGTGTAATATTATTTTAATAAAAAATATATGGTTAAAAAGAAGATAGAAAAATGCATTTTAAAAAAAATGAATACCAAACAGGAGTATATTTCAATTCGAACACGTATCAAAGTTGATGCCTAACATCAAGTAGGGTACTATTTGCAGAACTTAAGCAACCAAACCAACCCTAAAAGGTAGAAACTTTTCTGAATTGAATTGACTTTCGAAAAGTAATAAAAGCCTTCTGTTTACCTACGTTTCTTAAGATAAGTGAACCGCCATTTTCAAATTTGGAACAACTCCAAAAGCATTTTTGGATACAACACTATACACGACCTTATACGCTGCTTTAATTTAGTTCTCTTCTTTAATCCTGTCATGTACTCTCAGGACTAGCGTACCAAATATTCCATGAATGTAGAACAATAAAACAATTCAAAATCATGTCAGTTTATTGATTCGCTTGAATCATCAAAAGAAATTGAAGAAGACAGCCATTATTTAGGCCTCTCCTAGAGATAAAAAGAAGATGGAATATGAATTTTTGAGTTCATATTTGGACAAGAAATTGGCCTGCCCTTATCTCAAAGTAGCTCATCCCCAAGCAAAAACAAGAAAAAGAGAATCTATCAATTCTTCAATTTGAAATGATCAATTGCTCAAATCTCCTCAAGAACGAAATGAAATCAGCTGAAGGTAATTCAAAAACTCTGCAAGGGACGAAGAGGCTTTGATGCTTAATTCAGTAACAATTTCAAATGCGGTGGAATAAATTGGCCCATTTGACTAATAAAAAACGAGAACTAGTTCGAAATTCAAGTTTGTTGCAACTTTAGTGAGTTGTTTTGCATAATTATACTTGAGCCATGGGCTGAAGTGGTAATGCATATGTTCAAATATTCATGTTCACAACATTGTTTAAACTCAAAATGGTAGAAATAATTAGGGGTTTACATTTGGATGGCCAAGATTCAAGAATATTTCCATAGAAAAGCTTATATCTCAAAAGTAGAAGATCAACATCCTTATTTCTGCACTTCTAAGGGGAATAAACTAAAAGAAGCGAGAAAAGGAATAAGCTTTTTGGGTAGTGTGCAAGAAAAAATTTGAATGCCAAGTCCGTGTCAAGTCTTGATGCCTCTTATTTATAAAATGTTGTCACACGTCCGTCATTTTGATAAAAATATGAATTCAACCTGTACTTGAGGTGCGTGTCGAAGATAAATGATGGTTAAAACACTATAAAAAGAGTGGCTAGTTGGACTTAGACCTCTTTGCAGAGGCCTGACACAATCGACACCAAGGCACCCGAATAGAAGCTTTCGGCCACTTTCAAGATTCCTCGAGAATTTTCCTCAAAAGCATGGGTCCCCACCCGGTCGCCCACCCCTATCACCTGCTGCATTCCTTCAACTATAAATAGCAGTTCCAGCATATAGCTTGAAATATAGCAGCAACTCACCAGTTACAAAAACTTCTCCAATTTCCAGTTCCCTCTATTCCTCAACACTAAAATCATGTCGGACAAGTGCGGAAGCTGCGACTGTGCCGACAAGAGTCAGTGCGTGTAAGTATTTCTCATCTTCTTTACTTCCTACAAGGCCAAATTCATAAATATGCTACGGGTGCTCTGTATTTTCTTGAATCACGTGTTGAATCACCTCTTTAAAAGTTTACTCTTTTAGACGAGGCGATATGAATTGGAACAAATAAATGCCCTAGATTCAAATTTCATCATAAACCAGGCTGGCACAAAAGAGGAGCAAGTAACAAATGATTAAGAATTAATCCTTCTCCTCTCTAATGGATTAAACTTTTAGATGGGGTGATTCAATATATAATGGAACACCAGAAGCTAAATCCCAAGATCCATAGTCATTACCCTTTGTCGTGTATATGCATGATGCATGCAAATTATACACATACTTACATACTTGTTTACCAATAAATACTGAGTGAAGCGATACTGGGTCATTTGCAGGAAGGGTAAATCCTACAGCTTGGACATTGTTGAGACAGACAAGAGGTACCTTTCTTGATCAAGAAGAAATCTTGAGACTTATTTCTTAAATTGCTGTCAAAATCTTCGCACACTTATCTGTAATGGTAACTGAATCAGTGGATTTGTGTTTTGCAGCTACCCTGAGACCATACTGTTGGGTGCTCCAGCAGATGAGGCAAATGCAAGTGTGGCACAAGCTGCGCTTGCACTAACTGCACCTGTGGTCAATGAACAAAACAATTAGTTACAGGGACACAAAATAGTTTATACTATGTAACCATGTCTGAATAAGGTTTTATCTTTGTACTCCTGTTGTGTCAATTTGTGTCCCTGTCTGTCTTTTATGTTATGTAATTTTACGTGTGTTCCATTATCAATGAAGTATTATTAGTGTCTATATGTTTTCGTATTATCTTTCTTTTCTTCAATATATTGTACCTATAGTACAAAATCCTTTAGCATGCTTGGTTTGAGGATTAGATAAAACATGACAATGGTAAAGTAATTAAAATAATACAAAATGTATTTTAAGAGCAGATACATGAAGGAATGTGCATAAGACTGAAAATTTAACAACCTCAAACAAGAAGCTGTATATCAGTCTGCTGAATGAAACAGTTCATTAGCAGTGAAGATACAGTTTCTGAGGCATTGCTCTCTGAAACTGCAATTTAAGAGTTTGGAGTCCCATTTAAAGAAAAGCAGAAGAGAACTTACAGTTTGTTTGTATATCTGTGTCTCTAAGGACTGGTCTCAACAAGCTGTTGCCTCTAAGGACAGTTAGAGCTTATTTCCATACTCTAAAGAGTAGATGTGAGGGCTCCATATGCCCATTGAAAGATTCTTGCTCAGGAAGTCAGGTTAAGACTTCGACTTATAAAGGGACAAGAAAAATTGTAATCCCATATTCAAATATCCAGAAATAACATTTTGTTTGCTTCTATGACAATTGTTACATCGAATGAAGCACATATCAATCTTTACTTCATCATAAGAAAAAGCACAAACTAGCCGAAGATTAAGAGCATGTTTGGCTTTGCTTGAATGATAGAAAAAAGCAGCTCATTTCCAAGCTTCTTTTGGCTTTTAAGCAAAGCCAAAATGCTGAAGAAACAAAAGCAAGATTGAGAGTGAACACCAAAAGCCCACATATTTCATTGCTCTTCTGAGAAAATTTATAGCAAATCTGATCGATACAAAAGTGACAAAGTACATAACAAAGAACAAAAAAGAACAAGAAAACCTTTTACGATATCCAGCTATCGCTGACTTATATAACTTGCGAACTGCCAAAGCGGATCCAGTGGCTGAAGATTCTTGAAAAACCCAATGAAATGAGTCAGGTTTTTAATCAAATCTTAATTTCGCCACTGCAAAACATCAAATCTACTTAACAAATTTGAATAAAATGCATTCAAATTTATGTTCTTTCAATTCAAAGTTTCACATAGCATGCTCATCAACAGCACAGGTTCCCAACTAAAGCTAATCATACTTCTCCCTCCATGAATAAACAAGAAAGAAAACCCACGAAAGCCCGAGTACAATGTCTCCAACAACCAGCCTCAGCCAATCCCGACCGAGATCCTCAACCTTCCTTTCAAAGTAAACTCTCCAAATAGCCATTGTTACATGGAGAAGCACACAACCCCTAGCAAAGAAGCTGTGGAATTCTCTATCCTTCACAAATGCGACCATGAACAAGAGAAACCCAATGGCAAACAAAAGCAAACCCGAAAACGAGTCCGATGTCCTAATTAGCAGCTCATCACGTGGTGTTGATCCCTGCAGCTTACTGGCGCCGTCTTTACCATGGCTAAGCACAAACACCTCATAGCTATAAAACATCATTAGAGCTCCACAAGTTAAGGCTATCATAGAATGGAGCATACATATAAGGAAAAACCCAGGTGACACCATTGATTATTCCAACTAATACTGACAGCCGTCCGTTTTTTTTTTTTTTTCCTTTTAAAATCGATAAAGATTCAATCTTTACGCCTAAAAGCACAAATCAAAGAAAACTCTTCCATTGCCAGTATCAATCATACTTACCAGTACATATACGAGAAAACATCAAAGACAACCCAGTAATTATATTTGCTTGAACAGCATAATTCAATTCGATGAAACTGAACCAACTAATCAGAACACAGAAAATACTTCCCTCCAAGAACAAGTTTTTGGGACTAAAAGCCCTTTCTAGAACTTGCAGGCTCGGGATTCTACAGATGTAAGGATTTTAGAAAGAGTAATGCTTTTGGTAAAGGTGGATTGCAAAAGCATGAATACAATAAAATATCGGGAAAATTGTAGCCAGCTGTCCAAACTTTTAAATTTGGATAGCACTACATTTACATAATTGTTTACATAATGGTGTCCATAATTACACGTGGCACTGGATTCAACGTTTAATTCAAATCTCACACTTGCACATCAACAACTAGATGATTGACACATCACATTATAAATACCATTATGTGCAACAATTATGTACAAATAGAATTTTCCTTTAAATTTTGGGGGATGCTATGTGTACATAATATTTTGTACATATACAACAAGATAAATCCTTAAATTTTTTTGCCGACTTTATCTTAGCCTTCATTTAGGCTATGTTTGATATCCACTTAGGTAGCGGTTGATTTGCATTTTCATTTTCAAAACGATTTTTAGTTTTTCTCGAAAACGGCCCGTTTTCCGTGTTTTGAGCGTTTTGGCAATTTATAACTGAAAACGCTTAAAATGATAAAAAGTCGTTTTGCGTTTTCAATTATAAATTTTAACTCGTTTTTGAAAGTACATTTTCGAAAACGACGGACCAAACGCGTTTTTAATTGTTTTCGAAAGCGAAAAATGGCTCGAAAACGGCAAACCAACCGCACCCTTATTTTCTAGGGAAGATGGAAAACAAATTCCAACTTTCACTTTTTGCCTGTTTAATTGATAAAATTTTTCAAGAAATTCATTTTTCACCTTTGGTCGCCACGTCAACATTTTCTAACTTTTTCTTGAATAAGAAGGTGAGAATTCATTTTCCGAGTTATTGTAGCAATTTTTTTTATTTTATTTTATTTTATTTTTTGCGTTGGCAATGGAAATAAATTATAAGGATTATTGTAAAAAAATATTTCTCTTTAACTAACAATTTTCGTATAAAACAAAACCAAACGAACACCAAAAGATAGATGATTTTCTTGATTTTTTTTCTTGGTTGACAATTGAAACAAATTTCATTCCCAATATCAGTAAATTCTATCCCTTTAATCGATAATTTTCATGTGAAACAAAGCCAAACGAACACTACAAAACAATTTTATTTCAACATTTTCCACATGGAATATTATACCAATGAAATACAATAATTTACAATTCTCAAGAAAACAATTTCTAGACAATTCAATTCCCTAAAATCCGTTTTCAATTCAATTCAATTCAATCTTTGTAATCAAACGGACCCTTAGTGTCGTTCACAGTCCCAAACATTTCATAAATTCTCAATAGATGTCTAAATTGATAGAAACTGTCCAATTTGACCGTTAATTGACAAATAAAATTGAACTCTGGCCAATTTAAAAGGGAAAAGGGTAATTTGCTATTTAACCATATGAAACAATTAAAATAATGTAACTAAAACAAAATAAAATGGAAAGGAAAAAAACAGCCACCATCGACTCACCACCCACCACCACCCAACAGCCACTCAACCACCATCGACCTTCAACCCCTCAACCACCGACCTACACTGTCAAAGAATACCCATAGCATTGGTGGACACCATCGTCGAAGAATAGCCACAGCAAAACGACAGTAATTTTGAGAAAAATGGCAACCGAAATTTTGAGTAAAACGATAGTAATTTTGGCTAGATTTTTTTTTTGGGTCAAAATTTAGACAATTTCCGTGCAAATTTAGAGCATTTTTGTGTGTGGGTGTACATGTCTAAATTAGAGAGCCAGGGATACACAATAGATGGTTCTAGCGGTGGCTCTGTAAGAACAGACCCTCAAATCTATCGTCCAACTATCAGGCAAATTTATCATCCAACTATCAAGCAACTAGCTCGGCCTTTTGCCGTCTCCTCTAGGTTTCTCTTTATGGGCGGCCTAATTGTCCCATCTGAGCCATCAACAGAGTACCAACAAAATCAGCTTCGCAGCAGTGCTGGAGCTCGATCCTTATACCTCTTCTAAAATTGGTTGATGCTTCTAGTTTGGTGGTGTGGGTCGGTAGTGGCTATGGGGGATTATGGTCGTGAGTGGTGGTAGTGTCGTTTTTGGTTTCGATGGGGATGGGAAAGATGGTGAGTGTATGTGTTTTCATTTTTTGATTTAATTTTTTAACTTATTTTAAGTATAAGATAGGAAGTTAACCTTTTAAATTGGTCAAAGTTCAATTTTATGGGCCAATTAACAGTTAGATTGGTCCGTTTGCGTCCATTTGGACCTCTTTTGCGAACTTATGAAAGGTTTGGAACTGTGGTTGGCACAAAGTTAAGATTAGGATAAAGTTTGCAAAAAATTCAAAGGTTTGGGACCGCTACTGCAATTTTTCCTAAAAGATTTTAGGATCCGTTTGATTGTAAAGATAGAATTGAATTGAATTGAAAACGAATTTCAGAGAATTGAATTGTCCAGAAATTATTTTCGTGAGAATTGTAAATTATTGTGTTTGATTGGTATAATTTTCCACGAGAAAAATGTAGAAATAAAAGTGTTTTTTTTGTGTTCGTTTGGCTCTATTTTATATGAAAATTGTTAATTAAATGGATATATTTTACTGGTATCGGGGATGAAACTTGTTTCCATTGTCAAAAAAAAATCAAGAAAATCATCTATCTTTTGATATTCGTCAATTAAAGAGAAATATTTTTTTATAATAATTCTTAAAATTTATTAACTTTGCCAACAAAATATATTTATATACTACAGTCTAACCTTATTTTCCCTAAAAATCAAGAAAATTTCAAAATTCAAAAAAAGCAAGAACTTGAATTCCATGGAAAAATATACTCATCAAACACCTTAAAAGTTGGAAAACATTGTTGAAATTCCCTTTTCCATAAAAAAAAAATTGGGAATATCAAACACACCCTAAGATTCTAAACCCTGGGGCAGAATAGAAACACGTCGACGGTTGAATGAAAATGTTCTGGAAGTGTAGAATTTGAATAGTCTGTGTGGACTTCTCCAAGTAGGATTACAAAAAGTAGACCATACGTGAATATAAAAAGTAGAAAATTACAAAAAAATCCACTCCACCCTCCTCTCTGCGTGTGTTCTCGAGAGATTTTGTATATCCCTTGTACACCAAGAACAATTGATTTGAATAAGCTCTATCCTTTAATTTAATTTACCTTACTTCAATTTATCTTTTATATTCATTTTTAACTATACATTTACACAATAAAAAAATTCTATATGTAAATTCATATTTTTTTTTTCAAACTTTTTAATCACACATTAAGGAACAAATTAAAGGCCCACCAAACAGGAGCTAAGGTGCAAGCATGATTTAGTAATGAAAATTTGGGGGGAAATTAATTTTAGAACAGTGATTTTTCTAGAGAATGTGATTAAAAAATAAGAGATAATTTTCGATTTATGTGTACTATTATTTTATGAATGAATATATAGTTGAAAATAAAATTTGGAAAAAAATGAATTTTTGAAAAAAGAATCAAGCTAAAGTATATATTTCATGATTGACATCTTTGCGTACATTCCATTGGGGATCAAAAAGTGTTGGTTGGGAAAGTGTGTTTTTTAATTGTTCAATTATGTGTCATCACATGACACAAAGTCAAACATAATGTCGAAAAGAATGTACGTGTAGTATGATTGTTGAAAAAATGGTGCTAAACATAAGCTTTTTGAGATTATAGATTAGTGGGTATCATAAAATGTATAATTATATGGTTGATAGAAGTTGTAAATCCAATAAAATACATGATTAAAAATGAAGTTCGACTCTTTTTTTTTTCTTTTTCATTTTTTTTAAAAAAAAAAAAAGATTATTGCTACAATTCCCTCGACCAGGCCAACCCCTCTCCCACCTACCAATGACAAATCTTATTCTCATCTGAATATGTAAGCAAATGGTCTTATCAAATATAGTTTGGAGTAGATTTTGTCGAACTACTTCTTGCAATCTCATCTAGGTAGGAAGGTCAAAAAAAGACATCAAATAGGTAGCATAGTATTTCAATACGAGATGGATCATGAATCTTGTTCACCTATGTCGATGGTGACAAATATGCAGGCCTACCCGATCAATTTCTCGACGTGGTTTTATGGTTTCTCCCTTCCTATGCGTCGAACTCCTACCCTCTTTCATCTACCATGACATGAAAGAAGAAGATAGGACTTGGTTGATTTGGCAAGATTTAGGAGAAAAAGAGATTTTGAAAGAGAAGATTCTGATCCGGTTGGGATCATCTTGTGATCGGATCAATTCGATTTTGACTGAGCAGGGATCGATTTGTCTAACTTAGAAAGCAATAATAATAATAATTAAACGGATCTTTTAAACTAAAATCATGAATAATAAGCATAAGTAGGGATACAATCAGTATTGTCACCTCGTCTTTTGTAATGCCTTTTGTACATTTCGTCTGGAGCTTAATTCATAGGGATAAAACTTTTACATTTATAGAGTCAAATCTGCAGATATTGGGACTATGAAAATGATCCTCGACATAATGGAATTAGATCACAATGAGATGAAACTCAAATGCAGGACTAAAGCCTCAGGTTTTTAAGCCAACCTAAAAGGCCTTGGATGCCGGTTGAAAACACGTAAGTCTGTGAAATCCAGAACAAAATCAAGAAGGCGAAGAGAATCTTTCTATATCTGTATTACCGAAGCCTACAATAAGTAGGTCGATAGAGCTGCGTCATTGATACAATATTCTAACACGTTATTGTTCAGGGGTTGCGAATGAACTAGTTCTGTTTACCTCTCTGGGTCCTCAAGCAAGAGTGATACAGCAAAATCTACTTGCATTGGTTTTGACCAAATTTGGCTGACACAAGTAGTGCATCTAAGAGACGCTGAAGCCTTTGAGCACCCTTACTGGGTTTAAGCTGGGTAGGATTTCCAACCTCAGAGCAAAGAGGGGTACCTGCACACCACCCTCCAGGAGTGTAACTCCCGTTCTTTCGACCAAGCAATTCTTCATCAAGTTTGTCCAGGACAGGTACATTTTGCTTGAACTTACGTGCAAAGGCAGCACCACTTGCAATCATTTTTGTTGTGTCGTTAAGGGAGAGAGTATGAGGATGTTGCCTGGGAGGGGAATCCCAAGAAATATAGTGCATGTCGTGATTGACAACCGTTGGCACAAATTCTGGAGTGTTGCAGATAACAGTTTGAAAATACCCTTCGGGAGAGGAGAGAAAGTTTGAGTAGTACATGAGAAGGGTTCTCGGAAGATTATCCCAGCCCCATATACAGTACTCAACAAATGGACGTGAAAGGATCATCCAGGCTGAACCTGCATGTAAAGCGAAGAAAAAGGAATTCATCAATCAAAGCCAAAAAAAATGTAAAATAAAATTGTTGAAGCTAGAAAGCACTCAGTGCCGATCAATTTGTGTTGGTCTAGTAGCTTTTAAATCCATACTGATATTCCACAATTTCCACTAATGTCATTCTCGCCTTGTAAGAGACTGACAAATATATTCTATGAAATTGTATTTTCAGGGGGTAGAGTTCTAATTAACCAAGATGAAGGCCTCTATAAGAATGCAGAAAAGGCTACAGTGGCATCAAGATATCTCATGCATGGAATATTTAGTAGTCGAGTTTTCTCAACTTCCCCAAGCCAGTTCCAGTAACCTTCTATATTACAGAACCGTTTATAGAACAAAAAGAAACGTGTTGTAAAATTTCCAAAATACGCTCAAGTCAGCAAATTGATGCTGAAAAACTTTTCCAACAAGAAGATAATTTCAAATGCATTCCTTGGTGAGCATTTTTTTCCTACCTTATTTTAGGTAATTGCAACTTAAATACTTGATTTTATACATGCATAAATGCTGCGAGAAGCAATGTCCCGATCATTCTAAGTCAACTTATATGTTGCTGAACTAACTTATACCATGGAAACAACAAAGATCAGACCCTCAGTAACACAACAGCAAGGGAATGAATGAGATTTTCTGCTGCTTATTGAAATGCACAGTAATTTTATTAATGTGGTAATTGGAATATATACATTTGCTGGATTAATATACTTTGACAGTACTGACCGGTAAACAATTTAAATGCCGTGGGTAAAGTTCTCCGTGGGGTGACCCAAAATATATCTGACTTGTTTGTCTGGTAAAGGCCAGGGTCTATGATTAATGGCATGGCCCTTTGACCCCTGCAACAAAATCAAATGTATAAAAAAGAATTCATCATTTGTTCCTTCCATCCTCATGCTGACATGGGTGCAAAAACATAGAGCTTACTCTTTCCAGCCTAATTGGCTTGTGTGCTCAATGAAATTCCATTCCCGTCTTATCTTAGAAAATGTGTAAAGAAGATCTGCAGGAACAAACTACATGAACTTAAAACGATACCGACGTAATCATCGCATTACACAAAATCTAGTTATAAGAAAAACAGAATACACAAACTGTTTTGCTAAGGATGCGTAATTGAAAGAATAAAAGACAATCTAAAGAGCTCACCATCTTGAGTCACCAGGGGATAATCTGAGGCACTTAGGTTAATAAACCAATCCCAATCCTGATGTTTCTTGAGAAGAATGGCACACGCATGAAGAGTATTAGAAACCATGGTTGGCCCTCTATAAGTAACCATATTTGCTTTGGCATTCATGTACACATTCCCAACTTTTGAAAAAATAGGATCCTTTTCAACTCGGGAAGTAAGCTCCAGTCTCTCCTCTGGAGGAGACTCAAGATCCAGATGAACGACATAATAATTCCAGGGATGATATAGTGCATGAAGTGTCCTCCAAAGCTTCTCTAAATCACCCTTTGATCCGGAAATTAAATAAGCAAATTTTGGAATGGAATGACGGGGAGGAGGTGGTGGAGCTCGCTTAATCTTTGCCTCCGCAAAATAAGGGCTGGCTTGATTGCTTGTAAGACGAGATGGCAGTATTGAAAAGATCGAATCGCGCAACGAGGACACCATCCCCATATTGAATGAGGTGGCAAGAAGGAAAACGCATACTAACGAGCTTATAACTAGAGGTAATACCCATTTCTTCTCCATGTTGTTCAAGTACCCCATTCGGAAAACTTGTGATCATAAGTTCTCCTGAGAAATTCTCTCTTTATCGTGAATTCAGCAAGCCTGCATCAATACTAATTGATGGGTGGACTGTCGGTTCCGATTGTGGCACCAAATGTTTAAACAAGGCTCAAAAGCAATTTAAAAGCCGTACTCCTCGAATTGTACTCCCAGAGAAAAATAATCTGTTGAACCATTAACCAAAAATTCGGTCTTAGCCGAATAATTTAATATTAATATGTCCTACGAAGTAATCAAAGACTCTGTAAACGACTTAGCTTATTATATCGTTAGTGTGTCTTCTGTGCATAAAATTAGAAAATTATGCAGAAGCAGCCATAATTATCACATCAATTTTATCGAGACCAGATAAAATAAGTGAAAAAATAGCAAATTTGTTTTTCAAGGGGGAGCTCGTATTCATGTAGTTTTCAGCAGTACCCAAATATATAATCATATTATGATAATCTTAAAATACAAAAATTGCAACACAGTCTTACACGAGATATTATCAATACTATGAAGCAGAAATTGATGATAAAATTAACAAAAACCCACTTACTAAAATCAGAAGTTTAGATCACTGGATTAACCAGTTAGGAATAATCTCAAAAACGCAGACTGAAAACTTCAATCTCCACAATTGAACCTGAATATGTGCAACTTATAACAATCAAATCACAACTATGCATTCAAAAACAACGCCGAACCTTTTCGTTTATGTATTGCGTTTGTGGGAGAAAGTGCTCCTGTTGAGGAAGAACAATAGAGACAATAAAAAAATTCGCAACATATAGATCAAAGAGAAAGAAAAATCAGCTAGTTACGGTAGGTTACTGTGTGTAAATCTGTTACAAAATTTGTTGGGGAAAGAAAATAAAATGAGATTAATGTATTCAGATTATAGAAATGGAAAAGCATTTATTCTGTGATGATTTTTTGTTTTTGACCCAGACCGCCCCCCTTGAATTCTCAGCCAATGTTCTTCTCTCCCCTCCGCTCCGCTTCCTCTCTATTTTTAGTCAAAACAGCGCGTTTGTTACTGTACCGTCATTCAATACAAGTCTACCCGACTATTGACGAGCATACATTGTAGGAAAATGATTTGTCCACGGAATTTGTGAATAATAAATAAATGATAGCTATGAATTTGTGATCAAAATTAACGTATGGTTTTGATAGTAAATTTTTTAAAAAAACAAATATTTTATTGTATTTGATTATTGTATGACTCAAATCGTATTATTCTCATATAGCTATCATAATTTTATCATAGAACTGATAGTAATTTCTTTACGTAACCAAAGAGAAAAGAATAGTTGTTAGAATTCATGAAATTTGTATGAGGAACCAATTGTGTGACTTTGTTCAATGAATTCAAGGAAGTGTGCATGAGATTTGTGGTTTTCAAAGTAACAACAAAATTGAATACATAAAGAAAAGTTGAAAGATATATAATCCATATTTGGTTCGGTTAAAAATTTGATTAAAATCTAAGCCAAAGTGAACAATTAATTATAATCGTACATTTTATGGGATCCATAAATTTTAACAGCATGTTTCATCAATTTTATAAAAATCTACCAAAAATCTATTTTATGTATCTAAATCAAATAAGAGCATAGTATAGAATTGAATTGGTGGAGAGTGCATGATTCGATTCTATTTAGTTTCAGTAAATATTGAATTAAGTGTTGACAAGAATTATACACGAGTCAACGAGTCTTGTGTACAGGGATAGACTTGAATCAAATTACAATCGATAAATTATATAACCAAATTAGGTTAGAATCGATCCGTTCAGCTTCATATTTGGTCCTTAAAATTGTAAAATTTAGCCCCCCCCCCCCCATCTTTGGTATTGCAAATGTTAATCTAAATCAAAGTCAAACAATTAGTATTAATCACATATTTCATAGATCCCGCAACTTTTTCAACTACATATTTCAATAACTTTTATCAAAATTTATTAAAAATTTAATTTTTATCCTCACCAAATGTGGGTTAGATTGTTTTCTAAAATTGTTTCACTTCCATGCTGTGTAAATAGGTATAATCTGTGGAATCGCAGAAACTATCAAAATCAAAGAAGTAACAATAATAACTATAATTAAAATATTTTTTAGGTTAAAAATTAAATTAATCAAACACGTTTAATTGACAATTTTCATACAAATAAATTCTAGACAATTAAATTGTATAGAATTTACTTTCTTCCCATACAAATTTCATATTTACAAACATACGCATCCTAAGAGATGCCATGGTGGGACAAAAAGGTGTCAGAATAATCTTACTTGTAACCCAAAAAAAGAAAGGTATTATATATAATTTATTATCATTGTGTCAAATTATATTGTGAAGAGGACATTGGGCGGGCGTGGGTAGGTATAGGTAGGCCCTAGATTCTATTAGGTAGTGATGAAATTGTCCATTGCTCAATCATTAATATGGTTGGTGTGTGTACGTGCCTAGTAGAACTAACTCGAAATTAATATTGTAACTTTTTTAAGTTCGGACATTGGGGAAATCAATCTCAATATTTTTAATCTCGCAACTATTCATTAAACTTTTAATATATCGCAAAGGGAACTATCGTGGTCCACATAATAATTACTAAAAATGAACACAAATTCAAGTCACCGGTGTGGGTTCACATTCAATTAATTGCACTTTTTAATTTGAGCTGAAGATATAAATTATCTTTTCAATATTTAAACAAAATGTATTATCAAATACATATTTAATATTTTGATATGCATTTAATTATTTTAAGTGAAATTTAAATGAACACAAATTAAAATCATCGGCGTGGGTTCACATTTAATTAATGGCACTTTTTAACTTGAGCTGAAAATATAAATTATTTTTTCAATATTTAACATAAATAGAATAAACAAAATCAATTATCAAATACATATTTAGTCCTCGTTTGAGCCACATTATTGTAAAAATGAGAATGAAAAATATAGTCGTTATGGGCCCCACATAAGAGATAAAAAGTCAAATATGGTAATTTGATATGATGAATAACGATCATATTTTTCATTTTAATAAGAAAATAATGAGACTTAAACATGACCTTGATATTTTGATATGCATTTGATTATTTTAAATGAGATTTATTTGCAATTTTTGAAATATAAAACTTCATTTGTAATTTTTTATTGCTCTATTATTTTTATATATTTAAAGAGCGACGAATTCGTTATTTAACTAAAAGGAATGGAGGGTGATTCTTATACATGATTGAATAGTTAAATATGGATTATGCTAAAAAAAATACTTAAGGATAAATTTGTTATATTTCTCAAAGTTCAAGGACGAAAAAAGTAAATTTCCAAAAGGAAAAAGGTATGAAACTGCGCTAATAATTTCTCTTCAACGTGCAGTGATTTGTTTGATCCATGTTATTATCGAAATACATTTTTCTCTTTTTTCTTTTTAATCACGTATTTTTTAATAAAATAATATTATAAGCAAACTCAAAATCTTTTCTTATTTTTAGATACACATTTTCCATCAAACTATTACTTAGCCCTTGTTTGAGCCACATCATTTTCATAAAAATACATTTTTGAATAGTGTATTGATGAGAAATGTGTGGCTGAAAAATAAGAAAATATTTTGAATATGCGTGTAATATTATTTTATTGAAAAATGTGTAATTGAAATGATGTCAAATCACTATTTAAAAATATATATTTTTTAAATAATATGAATCAAACGACGACTTAAAAATATATATTTTCTAAAAAACGCGCTAAACAGAAGTTTGGCCCAACAAAAATAAAAATGTTAGGTCCCCATTAATTTTCATTCCATTAAATTTCATTTCTTTTTTTTTCTATTGTCAGCTATATAATATTTCATAAAATAATATTATACGTAAATAAAAAAAATTTCTTTACTTTTCAATTATTTATTTTTAAAAAAATATTATTCTACCTATTTTTATTTTTATAAAATGGGGGCCAAACGGGATGCCGTGAATTTATTGATTTCTATTCGATGCCACGTTTCCAATGTTCCATCGATGCCGAAATCATATTTATTATTATTTATGCAACAAAGCATCCACGAGAAGAGAGGCACCGCACGGCTCATGCCGGTCTGGGGAACAATAAATTAATATAGATTGTCCTTTTAAATACTATTCAATGACAGGCTGCCTTTGTTGTTCCATACAATGTTGCCACGCAATTACACTACACAGCCTGATGGTTTTTTTTTTTTTTTTTTTTTTCATGGGACTAAAAATAGACATTCTAATAAAATTATAATTTTGAGCATGTTTGGGGGTGATTATGAGAATTGATTTTTTAATCGTTAGAAAAAAAGTGAGGTCCACTCGTAAGAAAAGAAGTCAAATATTACTGCTGAAATAGTGAAATAACGATCAAAAAATCATTTTTTTGGAAAAAAATCACTCTCAAACAGATCCTTTATGTGAGTTTGTTATATTTATAATTACTATCTATTTATTATTAATTTTTTTTGAGAGATACGTTACTTTCTATATTGTAAATTCTTTATAAGTAATTCATAAGCATTAGAGGTCTGTTCGGCAATGATTATGAGAATTGATTTTTTGATCGTTAAAGAGAAAAGTGAATTCCATCCATTAGTAAAAAAGTCAAAAATAATGATTAGAATAATGAAATAATGGTTAAAAAATTGACCTTTTGGGTAAAAAAATTGCTACTCATTGAGGGCTAGGAAACAATGTAAAATTACGATATTGACGTGATTTTGACATGATGGTATGTCAGATGTAATCTTTATACCAGTAATTATATTAGTACATTTTTTATTTTATTTTTTATCATGTGCACAACATTTTAGTTGCAATGAAAATATCCAGTTTATTTTTTCATTTTTGTTACAATTATGTGTTTAATTTTTTTCCTTCAATTCTTATTTTTAATATTCGATTAAACTAACATATATGGTCTCCAACGACAATTTTTACGTGTATTAAAATGAGAGATGAATATTTTGTCAAAATTTCCTGTCATTGATTATTACAAATACAAGAGGCAAGTAAATTTATTTTTTTTGAATGAAAATCATCATTTGAGATGAGGCGTGCAAATTAATAGAGGATAAGGAACAAAGATGTGATTAAAAATATTTAGGAATATAAGTGTAAAAATAAAAACAGATTAGGCCAATGTCTGGTACCAGTTAAAAATAGATTTTAATTTAATCAAAAAATCTATTAAAAAATCTGATTTTAATTCCCACAGAACAAGGAACTAGGAAGTTCGTATTAGATAACAAAATATATGATGTGCATATAGTTACCCAACATGATAACTTATTATCTCTATTAACATTTTTATTGTCCATATAAGAAAATTAATCTACTATGCAAGAAAGAAATTGAATTTTGTGTTAGAATCGTTTACAATAAAATTGACATGAAATAAAATGAATGATGGCAAAAAGAAAAATACCTTTGTTGTTTCAGAATTAGAAATTTTGGCTTTTATTGGAGTTGGTTGACAATTTCGATGTCCAATCAACTTTAAAACAAATGCGACTATAAATTTTTATATTACGTTATGTTGAAATTATCAAACATTCAATTGTTTATAAAGATTATTAATTTCAACTATAAGAAAATATTTGTGACAACTCCTAATACGATTTTGTTACGAAGTTGTATTTGCACGCTTTTGAAATTGTTTGAATTTTGAATGTAATTTTTAACTATTCAAAAAGAGTTGAAAACGGAACTTTATTTTAACCCTGTTTAGACCATTTGTCACAGCAATTGTGCTACAAAATTAGGGATTGAATCTAGACAATGCGTGTCAACATCTGAATGGGAAGTTTTAAAAAAATAAAAAAATGTTAATGGGAGTTGTTGCGCGTTGTCACACCTGTCCTATCCACCTGGGTCAGTGGCCCACTCATCCTGATCCACGTGGCATTCCTGCCGAGGTGGCCCACATTTGCCGAGGTGGGTTATATCCGAACTGCTTCTAACCGAGGCCCGAGGCGTGGAAGCTCCTGGTTGTAGCTGAGGTCCTCGAATGGACGAAACCCCGAAATCGATGCG